CCGCTCCCTTCTATTCCAATGCGGTATTGATCGTCGCTATTGGAGGAGTCATTCTAATTGAACAAGTCTAATATACATAAAAAACAAGAAAAAGAAAGATAAAAAACGATCAAAACCAATAAAAAAGAAAGGCAACCAACGAAGAATATTGCGTCGTATCGATTGGCGGGGGGCAGGGTGAGTACGGTAATTGCAGTGACATTTGCCGCATGCCGCAAGGGAGAATGCCGCAATTGGGGAAAAGTTCCGTTACCCGAGGGCCCGTACTGAATTTTCATTTCTGTAATCGGCGTCATTTGGCATCATACATAATCAAGTACGGTGCTGACAGTTTTCCATTACATCTTTGATGCGCAATTTCCTTTAGGCTGAAGCGAATATTGACGGTAAATGTTGATGTTTGTTATGCACTTTGAAAAGCCCTTTACTCTCAAATTTGTTAAATTTTTAGCAAAACGAAAGCTAAACGTAGTTTTGTACAAAGCAGTATCGTGTGTACACGGAACATGAAAAATGTTTCGAAGTTCTTTTTGAGTAAAATCGTAGAATAGCGGCTGTGGACATGTGATGCTTGGTGATTCAATATGATGGCAGCACTTCTTCATTCCACAAGGTCGAGTTCTCTTCTAGTAACCCTCCGAAGGAGCAACGGAAGTTGATGGTATTTCTTTGACGGTTACATACAGGTTGTCTGGCTGAAATTGTGAGAGTCTTAGCAAGTGATCGTGAAGAAGCTGATTGCTGAGTAACAAGAAGCCTCAGTCACTTACCGTAACCGTAGAGCTCCGAAGGAACTTCCTAAAAGTGGGAGGTTTCAAAGGTTGGCAAGCTGATAAATAATCACGTGGCTTGAGCAGATCGCATTTCCTGGATGGTTTTAAGCTCACTATCGACTGAACCCATAACAATTCAAGTGATTAATTTACCGGCAAGACCATTTACAGTTCTCCCACATATAGTCCTTCCTAGTATCGCATAAACTGGATTCAGCCCACACTCCACAAAGTGAATGAAAATCTAAGCACTCTGAAAATTGTGTGTTTGTTATACATCATCAGGAAATAGACGACCTGATAACCAATTGTTGTCTGGAACTTCTTTTAGGTTATCACTCTAGCAGTTACAAGCGAGTCAAT